TGGCGCCACGTAGCGAAAAGAAGAAACGACTGGCGCGCTGTTGTTAACTCGGCTATAATCGCGTAAGCGGTGTCTACGCCAATTAAGAAGAAGAAGAAGAAGATAAGCGAACTAATCTCTCACTTTATGACATGTCAAAAATATAAAATTTTTATCGAATTTATCGAATCTGCCGATATGAAGCAATTATAACTTGCATTTTTACTTGCTGTCATACAAATTAACCGCTCAAACTCACGTACTTGTATGCAAAACTATTTTATTTGTCAAATTATCTCCATGAAAGTTCGCACAATATATTATCTAAGGCATTGCTACAAGCTCTAAATATATTATTCAGATCATACAGCTGTATGAATGCTGCCACATATACTGACCTATCAAAAACAAGATAAACGTCTTTGTATACCCTTTTATGCTCTAAAACAGGCAACTGTGAACGGTATTATTATATGCGGTGTAGCTGAAGGCAATGTTATTTCTTTGTGTAGATTAGTCATAAATTATTCGAAAGTTTTCTATAAAGCAATACCACGTCACATCAATATTTTCCATTGCCAGAGCTTAATTCAATTAATTATACGAAAATAAGCGAAGCAATTCTAAAATGTGTAATGTTTTTCTGAGCTCAGCTTAACTGTTTTAATAAATATAATATTGGGTGTATGAACTTACCTGATTCGCCGACGGATAACCGCAGCCATTATACTGCGCATAAGCAGCCATTATGATCAGTTGACCACTACGAAATCAAAATATTGCACGTTTTTATTTACAAATTTGATGAGGTTCGTTTTGTTTATAAAATGCTTTAAAGCCAAAAACTAAATGTGTGTGGATCATACAAATCGATAACTAATTTGTATAATAAAGTCATAATTTTTGTTTACCGAAAAAGACCCACGCAAAGTTTGGCATATTATTTTACTGTTTCGATTTTTTTTTGTGTCCCAACAGAGAAGCTGCGATCTTTAACAACCGTTATGCATTAATTTTCGATTACTTGGTGCATAACTGTTTATTATTATTTCTTTTTTTACTCGTACCGCTTACGTTCACGCTGTGTCATTAACACCACTGCGACATTTTGCCACTGTTTGCCATACAAAATGGCCGTTGGTCACAGATTGGAAGCGCGCCCGTGGTTTAAACCAAAGCTGTTAGCTGTAAAATATGTGCTGGTATTGTTGTTGTTTTTTGATAGTTTACTTGACATATGAATGCCATGTGTTACTGGCAACCTAAAACTTGTAGCTGTTCACACTTTGACAGGTCAGCATTCTAATGGCGCTGACTGCTGACGGACGCTTACTAAATAATTGTTGTTGTTGTTTTGGTTCACTTTTTTTTGTTGTGTTTTTGCTAATGTTGCTTTCGTTTTTGTAGTTTCTGCTGTTTCGGTTGACAGGGTCAAGGTTTTGGTGGACTGCCTGCATGCCGTCACACGCACACATACACTTACACGTGCAGAAAAGCAGTTTAACCACAAACTCAAGCCGAAATCCCCACCGTCTGCTCTAATTAAAAAACGCTTCACAAACTTGTCAACCGCCTGCACTAGCAACAACAACAATAGACGACTAAAACTTGTTTGGGGGTAATTTGACACTTTGACTGGCCAACTAGCCTGTGCTTTGGTTATTATTATAAACTCTTTGAACTCAAATTTTCGCTACTGTGGTCATGTGATGTGTTGGCGCAAAAAAAAATATATATTTATTTCTTTTATTAGTTCCTTTCAGTTTATATCTTTAGATATTGCGCGATTTGCAGCGTCGGCATTTCGAGATTTCATTTTATTTCACTTGATAATACATCGCGCGTCACATTTTACATAGTTCAATACGCGCCCATAGCAAAATCATTAACTAATCAATCGTGACAACAATAATAATTATTTCATAAGATCGTCGGAGAACGCTCTGCTCAGCATACACTTGCAACTCCTGACCGTCGCTGTCGCTACACAACTTCCGGTATTTTCCAATTGGAAAATCTCAGCCCTTGAAACGCACTGCATTAGCGCTGAAGCAGCCGATCGGCGCAATGCAATCAACACAATCACACTCTTCACGTTGCCGCTGCTCTTCTATAGTACACCATAAGAGTTCATACAAAACGTCGCGCTATATTCGTCGCTGCTACTGCTGCCGCTGCCCGTCAAACTCGTTTTCGCGTGCCCACACTTGCTCGCCGATGCGCGCCTATTCACGTTCGAGCACAAACTAGTTGCGAGTTCGTACACTTTTGTGCAGCGTTTGCCTTAACGCAGCGCACTCAACATACGTGTAAACGATAAGAGCGTGCGCGAGCAACAGAGCGGGAGCGCAATATGTCGGCTCAAACGGCAGGAGAAAAGCGTCAAATGCGTGCATGTGGAAAGAGCAGAGAAAATAACAGCTTTAAGCGCAGCTGCAGCGCTGTAGTGAAAAAGAGAGCAAGAGAGCGCTCATTCAAGCACTAAATGAATTGCTTTTCAGCTACACGGGGTATGGTGGCAGCGCATAGGCCACACCTACCGCTTCTTACGTGAGCGTCGCATAGCTGCAGTTGATGGCAGCGCCGCCACAGGCATTTTGCGTGAAAAACCGGAATTACCAACTCGTTACTCGCTGCCGTGCCATTCACTTGCATTGCAGTGCATTTCCGCTGCACGCGCGCTCATCGTCTGACGTCGCGCTGCAAGCCGCAGCTCCAGCCGTTGTCATACTGGAATGCCGGCCATCCGTACGCCACCAACTCTAAACTATCGGCGGGGTAATTTTATGGCGCTCGTCCACCACACAACTGGGGTAACGAGCAGCGCATATAGTTCAATGAATTTTTTTCCAACCCAATTTATTTACGCTTGTACCGTTGTATGTTTGTGCGCGCCTTCATATTATGTGCTTTTGTTTGCAATAAGAAACTCAACTCTTTCGCTGCCGTCATAAGATTGTGGGCGTGGTTTGCGGTGCATAGTTTTTGGGATTTCAAAGAAAGTAGCTGGCTATGCCACTCCTCATAGCGCATTTTTATATGTGTAGTATACATTTATATGTACATATTCATACATATATCGGTAAATGCTATAATTAAATAGGCATATGTATATACATACATTTGTACATAGAAATGTTGATTCGTGTGCACGCAGGCTGGCCCATGAAATGATAAATTAATAACAAATAAATGCAGCATGTCACATAATAATAAAGCTTTTTGGAATGATTAACAAATAGTTTCTGCTTTCCACAATATATATATATATACACACATATATACATACATATATATAGCACATATATTGCCACCATTTATAGATTTGTATATAATGTACAGCGTTGCGTTTCATAGAAACTATGTTATTGTCAAAAAGTAAGAAAAAACTATCGAATAATACTTAGACATGTTTCTATATAAACTGATATAATAAATATCATGACATAATTTGCTTAAGAAAGTTGTTGTGAGGTTTCGAGAAGTTCTTATTTATTTGGTAATCCCATTTGGTAATCCCATTGGTGTCATTAGTTGCTTTGGCTATGACGCATTTAAAATGAAAAATATATCCTATGGGTCTTTTCTAAAATCGTTATAACTGTAATAGTGAGTAAATAATCAAAGGCGTAGTTAAAGCAACAAATGGGAGAGACTTAAGACGTTACATGGGTTCATGGTCTGACAAAAAAAACGATTTTATTTATTGTCTTCCATTTATGTGATTTTACAACTTATCTAGAATACTGCCTTAACTGTTGAAGTGGATCTGAGTATTAGGTTTGGAGAAAACTTGTGCTACATTGGTGCGGGATAATTTTTCTACACTCGTCCTTTAGGATTTGCCATAATGAAACTTTATTCCACGATTTTGTCGCCGCAATTGCCCTTTTCATAATCCAGACCATGACTGGCGATCCACCATGTTTCACAGGTTTTTCGTTTTGTTTTTGTATATCATAGGTTTAATTCTTGTCCCATGGCTCATTTGAGAAGTTTTTCTGTAATAACTTCTGCACATGTTTTTACTCTGTTTCCATGAAAGCATATTCTATGCAAACAGATCTGTTCCGGCCGAGAACTGTTAATTTGGAAGAATTTCTTAAATTATATGAGGAAAATGATTTCTGAAGCTACAACAACACTTTTTAGCATAAATGCGTGTACCTAAAAAATGTTAACGGGAAGCATAGATAGCCTCCTCTATAGGGTGGATGCAAAAGAAATTCCAATAAAGCTTTTGCAGCTTCTAACATGTCACCGTAGTTATGTGGGACCCGGCATTGTGCTGATGGAAAACAATTCCCCCCGATTGATTCAAGCTGTCCGCAACTGGTCGATTTTTACCGAGTTAAAAGTTTGACCGTGTAAAGCAGCTCATGATGGATGATTCCCAGAAAATCCTATCAAAGATTTACCTGACCGTGGGTCTTAGCTGGGCACCCCTTACCCCTAGTTGCACCCACTCACCATGATTTGACTACGATTATTTGGGTTGAAATTGAAGTGACCTATAACTATCCGGTCGGTACCGAAATTTTGTCCGTGCGGTTTTGTTTTTGCATTAATTCGTGTAGCCATAAGCCATATATATTTTATTTATTTTTTGCTGCAACTAACCTGCATAAAAAGGTACCAAACGATTTTGCAATTTGCAATGTTTTGATATCTATCATTAAAATAACATTCCCAACATAATATTTATATGAATGATGTATTTATTATCATACCCCAAATCACTTAAACGATGACTATTTCATGTATATAGCTTTAGTTTTAGATTTAAGGATTCTAAACTTTTTCAAAAAAAATCAAACTACTCATAGCGCTCCCCACTGAAGCCCCAGTTCCGAAAACACGTCTTTCAGCATTATTCTTGAAGTACCTTCTTAGAGTGTAATGTGTGGCAAGTTTTATTGATTTATTGAAATATTTTGTAAAGTCATCTCTTTACCGTACAGACTGACAGAGTTACTAGCAATAAAAATATCTTTAAAACTTCTATAAGGTATAGCTGTTGTAATTACGACCTTCTAACGAGTGAAGGCCTTCTTCTTCCTTTGCCCTTTTGAGCACTTCGATAACGACAAAATCGATTAACAGATTTCCTTTGCCGCTATAGCCTTGCAACCTAATTTCTTGGACGCACAGTGCTTCGAACATAGAACGGATTGCACAAAAAAAAAAATAAAAAATACTACAGAAGTTAATACCATTTAGTATGGCTGTACGTGCAAGAAGTTTCACCTATACTTTCAGGCAAAAGAGATAGTTTATTTATGAATTTATACAACTCATCACCGTCATTATTATCTAAACAATCAATCAACAATGGTGCTCAGAACCATAAATCAGAAAGAAATGTGTACAGAAATTACTTCAAAAGCAAAATAATATACGATTTATGTTAATTTTTCCTACAGGGAACTAGTCGAGAGAGCGTCCAACGATTTTAATTAAGGAAATTCACCAGGATATTCAGCGCGGCCTACATATACACACTCATAAACACCGAGTCTTCATTTCCCGACCCATATTCTTATACGTATGTAAGTGTGCAAAACTAGATTGGACCGCACTTTTTCCATTTCGAAATGCGTTTACAATGTATGTTCAATTACACTGCTGGTGCTGATAGCTTGGCATGTTCTGTTTCTCTATAGTGTTCCTGCAGTGGCTGCAGACAGTATAATGCGCAGCTGTGGCAAATAACAGCCTGCAACATTTTTTCATCGGCGAAAATAAATTCATGCTAACATCACAGAGACATTACTACTCCACCACAACTACAACTACAGGTTCCATTTTGTAATATAGCACTACCGTTACTTTATAGTACCTCTTTGACCAGCTTATTCCTGGCGACGTACAGTCACACGCCGACAAAAACGTCCAACGCATGCCAGCTTGTGTTATCCCTAAAAATATCCTATGAATGCGGTGGCTACCTCTTTGCCACTCTGCCACACACGAAATCGCCGTTGCTTTTGTCTACACAGCATTAGCCGGACATACAAGTTCATTTTGCTGTTGCAACGAGCAAACATCTTGTTGAACCAACAAACAAATGGCTTTGCTAGTTTTCGCTTTCATCATCAACTTCAGTGCTTGCTTCAGCCATACTCTCGCTTCATACGCGTACGCACTCTGCCGGATCTATTGATGCTGTTATCCTTTTGTCCGGCCACCAAACACTGTTAGTGCAGTTCCGTGATGAGCTCAGCTTTTTGTATGCTCTTCCGTTCAATTTTTCCCTTTTTGGCTATTTTGCTTTGGGGCTGCTGCTGCGTTGGCAGATTTTCACAAATCCTCTACTGTCCGCTTTCCACTTTCATGTGCGTGTATAACGTGTCGTTGTGTATGCGTGTGTGAGTGTATTTGGTTAGTTGCCTAGCTGCAGCTGCCAACAAGTTGGCTTGTTACTAAACTTGTTTGTAATCATCGCTACACAAAAATGCGCAAAAAATGGAAAAATATGAGGGAAACCAGAGCAACGCAAACAAATTGGAACAAGGACTAAACGCCGTAGTGTTCCATGAGTATCTCTCTGTGAATTATTTAACTTTTTTTTTTTTTTTTTTTTTTTTTTTTTTTTTTTTTTTTTTTTTTTTTTTTTTTTTTTTTTTTTTTTTTTTTTTTTTTTTTGCAGTAAAGTCTATTGTTTACGTTATGGTTAACTGTCAGTGTAAACAACTCGAAAATTAAATGACATACATCGAAGTGTTCGAACATATGTTAATATAATGGATCACAAGTGTTGTATAAGGTATATTTAAAATAAAATGTATAATAACAGTTATTAAATGCAATAAGAATGATGAATTCCAAAGCAAAAAGCTCAGTTAGCGTTAATATTGATGAAAAGTTAATATTTTATAGCTCCCAACCTGTTACAGGGAGAAGAACAGTATTTTTTACATAGCGGTTGTTAAATTGGTTGTATGATTGAGCTCATTTGATGAAGTCAAAATAATCGCATTGTTGGATATATTATAATTCACTTGGATGTCTAGGAGTATGAGCCTTAAATTTATTTAGCCTAGATGTGACCAAGGTGGGGTATTTAGGGGTTACATTGGTTTCAAAAAATCTTATTAAAACAACACCTCTAGAACATTGTCCTAAATTTTCAAGTCGAGCAGAGTAATAGCTTCGGAGATACAGCCTTGAGAACTTGTCCGGTCGAGGCTAGCTAATTTTTCTTGAAACTGTGTTTTTGAAGTCGG